GTAGAGTAATATTTGGTTTGGGGTGGGATTCAGCTTATTTTTAAATAAATTTCTAAGGCATTTGAGTTTATTGTCTCTCAATTTCCTTTTATTTCTTTGACGCTCTTTTTCTAAGTCAGAAAACTGTAATTATGCGAATACAATTTCAGCACATTCATAACTGCAGAGCATTTTCTGTATCTATAGAACCACAATTCTAATCTCCCAAGTTACTTGCTCATAAGCAAATCTAAGCCCCTAATAGTTTCATTGCTTGTCCTTAGAGCCCTTTTATTTTTCGTCTTTATTTTGACAAGGCAAACAAAACCAATGATACTTTATCTAAAAGTACACTAGCCATTTATGTAACAAAAACATATAAAGGCCATAACAGGTCATGCTGAAAGTCCACCTTTCTCAGTGCCTTCTAACAGCTTCTGAGATGCCCCCAGCAAATAGAGCATGCTGTTGGGCTGCCCTGCCTTCAGTTTTCTTTCAGTTTCTGCCTTCACATTTTTCACTTTGATGCATTCCCCCACTCTACTTTCTTCTATTCCCCCCCCCAGTCACTTAATTTCTCCCCAGTGTATTTTTCTTCATTCCACCCCCTTTAGCCCCCACATAATTCCTTTCTTCTAGTTGATGTAAAACCCCAAAACATGACTCAAATTTTTACAAACTTTATTTTGGATCATTGATATATCAAAGTTTTCAGGTCTTCAAACATCCTGGAGAGCAATTTCTAACTTCTCACAAGGCTCTAAAAACACAGCCTAGACACTGCAATATATAAAAGATGCAGACTGTTTATACATAAATGCAAGCACCGAACATCTGATTTTACAAACATACGTTGTGTGCACTGGAAAGCCAGACATGATGTATCTACACCCAAAAAATCAAGAAGAGATTTAGACCAATGCTAAGAAGATCCTGAGGGCCTGGCTCAGGCAAGGTGGATGTATCAAGGGACTACTAAGCACAAAGGTGTTCTTTCAGACTAGATCAGAGCTCAGTCCCTCGACAAAACAGATATGCCATTTAGAAAGACTGTTCTTTGAGATGTTACTGACATGTATATTTATAGTGACTATATCTACACTGTAATCTGAGTTTATTTTTAATGACAGCAGTATCCAGGATAGCATACCTTCTATTGATAAGAATAATTTAGCTATTTAAGCAGTTGTGTGTTTTCCTTTCAATCAAGGATTCCCAAATACTGTATGGACTACAAAGGGAAAAGCCAAAAGGAAAGTACTTATGAAAGTGGAAGTCTCAACCAATAAGTCTCTAAAAGGAATATTAACAGGTAAACAGCTATTTTTAATTCTTTTGAGTGCCTGCCATGGGAGAGAAGGAAAAGCTCTTGCCACACAATTAATGAGGGTGTCATAATGCACCCTCCCTTCAGGTATTTATATTCATTGATAAGATGCCTTCCAAGCCTTTTCTTCTTCAAATTAAACAGTCCCAGCTCTCCCAGCCTTTCCTCATATGAAGGACTCCATTGTAACTGGACTCTCTCCAGCTGCTCTGTATCTCTATTGCACTGGGGAATCCAGAACTGGACCCAGCACTCCACATATGGTGGAAACTTTCAAGCTGTAAATGAACAAGGTGCTAGATAATCTCATCTAGGCTCCCTTTTCCACAACAGATTGGACCAGATGATCTTCTGAGGTCCCTTCCAGCCCGAGCTGTTCTATGAACTTGGTGTCCACTAGGACCCTGACGCCTTTTTCCCCAAAGCTACCTCCCAGATTGATGTCTCCCAGTATATACTGGGGCCTGGGGGTGTTCCTCCACAGGTGCAGGACTTTGCACTTGCCCTTGTTAAACTGCATCAGGTTCCTGTCAATCCATTTCTCCAGCCTATTGAGGTCCTTCTGGATGGCTGCACAACCCTCTGGTGTATGAGACAACGGGTTGCTTATATACTGTCAGTTGTAATTTTTCTAAATTATTCACAACTGTGGTCTCATGACCTGCCCATCACATCTCTTGGCAGGAGCACAGTACAAAGATGCATTAGGCATAATCAAGTTTATCAGGGCATAGCCAGACTCAGCAGCTTCATCTCAAAAAGAAGAATGACATCTCCAGGGAAAGTTAAAAGAAACTAATGGTGATCCTGGGAATAAGGGCAGGATGCAGCAGATCCTGAGTCAGCAGCAGGGGATAGGATGGTGGAAGGACCCAAGGCAAAGGAGAAGAGTCAGAGATAGAGCTGGAACAAGTAAGAGAGGCTGCAATTGATTTTCTCAGACAGCTTGATTATTTTTTTTTGAGGGGGGGAGGGGGGTGTTAACTATTTTGCTTTTACAAAACAACAGATACATACTAAATTACTTGCAGGCAGCTAAAGAAATACGAATTAAAGTATTAAACCAATTACACAAACCTCTAGTCAGTCCTGTTTCTCAGTTTTTCAAAAGCATGCAAATAATTTAAAAACTGATAATATAGATGTCCTGAAATTACTTCAGGAATTATAGAGGATTATATCATAAGTAACATCACCAGAAAAGACAAAAACAAAGGGAGTGAAAACTATAACTGAGACTGATACCACTGATACGAGAAAGGATAAATAGTAGAAAGGCAACATAATTTGCAAAAATACGTTGAAAAATAGTCCAACTACACTCTGAGTCATCCTAAAGATGAGCAAATAACAATTTCTCTATAAACACAATCATGGGCATAGCCCATTACCTATGACAGCTCCAGTGATAAAAAGAATATAGAATTCTATTTATACAGGCTGTTGATGAAGAACTTCATGCACATGTTAAATAGTATGGCTTAAAAGAATAATAGAGGTTGATGAAAAACCTATATCCTTATCCTTTTTCTTCTTTGCATCTTCTGCCTAATACAGAAAATAGTAACAATATCTACTTGTGGCAGAGTATCTCTAAGCAAGCAGAAAACTGACAGCCTAATTCTAACGATAAAAAACACCTAAAATACTAGCCTAAATATATTTGAGTCTGAAAATCACAGCATCTTCATCTTCTTAACCTGAATACGCATTCTCATTCTAAATAAAAATTCAATCTAAATCCATCATTACTCTACCTAGACTGAATTGGCATTCCTTCTTTACCCCTTGCAAGGCACACTTTCCCATTCTACAATTGCCATTCAATTGGCAATAAGGGCTCTCAAGACCTAGATCTCCCACACTTGGAGACCAATGACCTCATCCTGAAATTAATGACTACAGTGGAGAGACTCCCTTTGTCATAGGCAATAGAAGTGAGCCTAAACTCCACTATTTCACAAGTGAAGAGACCAGAGATAACAGCTACCTATCGCTCTTTTCTTCAGAAATCTAAAGAAAGTTATGAAAAAAGAATTCTTCATTCTCAATTTTCTCTCAGTGATTCCCAACCCTACATAAGCACCTTCTTAGGACAGGTGTCATACGTCCTTGGAAAACAATGCAGAAGGCTCTACCTGCGACAGCTTTGCCACCACTCAATTGTTTCTTTCTTAAATTAGTGGCCTCAATAGCTAGTGGAACTGAGGCAGAAATAGAAGAAGATTAGTTAGGAGTAGATTAATGTCCCATTTCCATGTCTTTATGAGAACTCCAAAAATTGTGAATATACATAATAAGACAAATCCTGAAAGAAGTCTGGAGAATCTGCAGCAATATCGACTAAACCACACAACAAACTGATGTCCACACCATGTCATTCATTTCAGAGCAAAACAGAATGGGTGTTCCCTTCAGGAAAGGGATCTACCACCTCCATAGGAATCCTTTTCTTTGAGGAGAAGATGAATGAATATTTCGGGCACAGATGTGAAGCTCATTTAAGCAATCAGACAGAAGCGACTTCCAGTAATCACTTGTCCCCTGCTTTTCTCATTTTCTATGGAACCGTTCCAAAATTATAAAAGGCACAAAAAAAAAAAAAAAGAGAAACTATTCCTATGGAAGCAGTTAATGAATACCTCTCAAGGAATCTGTCAAACAGACATTTAACGTGGACAGCAATGGTGAAAGAAAAAAGGGCACAGAATCCTAGAATAGTTAGGGTTGGAAAGGACCTTAAGATCATCTAGTTCCAACCCCCCTGCCATGGGCAGGGACACCTCACAGTAAACCGTATCACCCAAGGCCTCGTCCAACCTGGTCTTGAACACTGCCAGGGTTGGAGCATTCACAACCTCCCTGGGCAACCCATTCCACTGCCTCACCACCCTAACAGGAAAGATTTTCTTCCTTATATCCAATCTAAACTTCCCCTGTTTAAGTTTTAACCCATTACCCCTTGTCCTATCACTACAGTCCCCAGTGAAGAGTCCCTCCCCGGCATCCCTATAGCCCCCCCTTCAGATACTGGAAGGCTGCTATGAGGTCTCCATGCAGCCTTCTCTCCTCCAGGCTGAACAGCCCCAACTTCCTCAGCCTATCTTCATACAGGAGGTGCTCCAGTCCCCTGACCATCCTCGTGGCCCTTCTCTGGACTTGTTCCAACAGTTCCATGTCCTTTTTATGTTGAGGACACCAGAACTGCACACAATACTCCACGTGAGGTCTCACAAGAGCAAAGTAGAGGGGCAGGATCACCTCCTTCGACCTGCTGGTCATGCTCCTTTTGATGCAGCCCAGGATACGGTTGGCTTTCTGGGCTGCAAGCTCACACTGTCTGCTCATGTTCATTTTCTCATCGACCAACACCCCCAAGTCCTTCTCTGCAGGGCTGCTCTGAATCACTTCTCTGCCCAACCTGTACCTGTGCCTGGGATTGCTCCGACCCAGGTGTAGGACATTGCACTTGTCTTTACAGCACCTTCTAATCCTTTGGCAGATATTTATAGAAACCACTTTAGAGAAAGCGTAGAGCAGGATGCTTGGGAATCAACTGTTTGCTACCAAGCTTTTCCTCACCAAAGGCACCTATGTTTCTAAGGAGTCCTGCAATGACATCTAAGCTTTCAGAACACTGAAAAATTGGAAGAGGGAAAAAAAAAAAAAAAGAATAAAATTCATTTTTTCTCACCAGGGAAACTGTTGCTCTTCATCAGCAAATCTGCCATCACTGCTGACACTTCTGTTGAAATATATGAATGCAGAAAACATTTTAGAACTTTCATTTCTATAGCAATCACAATAGATGGCAAGGCACAATGGCTGGATGAAGATATAAACAAAACTTAGTTTCCTTATGGTTGTCAGAAATTGCTCCTTGCTTTCCTGAGGCAACATGTCAATAAATCCAAACTACTTCAATTAATCTACCTATTCTAATTAGATGGCTATTTGAAAAACAGAATTGCAGACAAAATGACGCACAACTCTTTTCCTCAAAAGGTCTTTTTCTCTTCTCCTTCTCTCTTCCCCTCACTCCCCAGTATCTTTATAAAGCGGTAGCGATTTCATCAGCACTGTTCATCTCTTCATCAGTCCTTGGGATGACAAAAGAATCCCAGATGGAGCAAGTCACTTTGTGGAATACTTCCCTTCTGTTCTTTTTGAAATAATAGTAATAGCATTAAAGGCAAGAATCACTATGCTATTTTGGCATGCTCTACAGTTCCATCAGAAAAAAAAAAAATTAAAAAAAACCAACAGCTTTATTGGAAAAGTTATTTTGGTACATATATAGGAACTGTGGGGAAAGGGAAGTAAGGAGCCTCATGCACTTTCTCTTTCATGAAGTGTACTATTTCTGTAATTCTCTTTCTTAATTCCTGCAAGGATTTTAAATCACTAGGATACAGAACTGAGCCTGACAACTGCTTCATATGGAGAATGACAGGACTCCAGGTGATGCAAGTTTTCACATTCCTTTAAGCCTTCATTCTATTACTCCTGAATACAATGCACTTTAAATAGAAATATCTTTAAATTTCATACAAGATGCCTCAAGTATTTATGACATAGAAGCAACCTAATCAGAGCAATCATCCAATACCTGTAAATATGTTATATTGAGAAAGAATGACGAAACTGTTACTGCAATAACACCTCTGTGGTACTGGAACCTTTTATATACAACTCCTACGAGACCAAACTCAGTGAACTATACTGAAGGATAGGTTTGTGGTATCTTTCAACTACCCTGTCAGATGACAAATGGCATCTCTGAACTCAGAAAAGGATACAGATCAGCATCTGCCTGACTTGTGAGTATCATATGTGAATACCAAACCAATGTGTCTATTGGCATAAGTCTTAGCAATGAGCTAGAATGTATGAGGGCAGTTGAGATTACCTAGAGCCATTCCATCCATACGATGGCATGAAATACTTGGGCTGATACAGATGAAGGATTTTTGTCTTTATTAAAGGGAAAGCATTTTGTTTATTTTTGTGCATACTGCAGCACTGCAGGTATGTCTGGTAGTCTAAGCCATATGAACACCTAAATGTTGCTAGTGATATTTGGCACAAGGGTATAAAGCAGCACAGGCAACATTGACAAAAATAATCTCCGTCTCAAGTCCACAGAAAGCATGCACAACTTGCAGGAGAAGGTAAAGCACCATTCAAAAACATAGATCTTGCATACAGCACAAGAAGAGGGAAGAATAGTACGTTGCTCTTCTATTTTGAGAAAACTAGTCAGAACAGGATTGGAAAATATTATCTTAAGGCCAGTAATTTGAGAACTAATTGAAGGGAGATCCACCTACTTACAGAAGTATTCTTCCTAGTTCAAACATGGACATAATATGCTACATGCATTAACAATCCATCTTTTATGGTTAGAATCATTATTATTTTAGCTATCATCTTAAGAGTCTGAAAAGTAAGTAAACAGGTCAAAAAGAAATTAAGCCAACAGAAGTTATGCAAAACAAAGCTTGACAAAATATTCTTCAAATATGCCTAATGGTACTTGAAGAATATAAAATTGAAAATACATCATTTTCCCCCTTCCACTCATATTTTCTAAAACTCCTCTTACACAGAGAAAGAGAACAGAAAATGTCCTAGAAAACCTCATGTTGCAACAAGCAGTCTTTTTGCTAATAGGCCTTTCTCTTTTTTTCTCCGCCTGTTCCTAAGAATATGTCAGTAGAGAAACATGTCCTTCACCCACCTTTTTCATTGCTGGGTTTATTGTCTCATTTTCCCTCCCTCCATACTCATGAAACTTTTTCTTTGCTCCTACAAGTCTCCAGTCTTTTCTTAAATCCTCTTTCAGTTTAATATACAAGAAGAGTGCTATGATAGCTCTGCTATGTATCATTTGCTATAACAGCCTCAATGGACAACATCCTCTAAGCTATACGATACTATCAACAAGCTAGCAAATGAAAGGCATTTCATTTTATAAAGCTAAGAATCTACTCATTAATATCAAAGGTGTTTAAAATGCCCAGGTAAATAAGTTTTTCCTAAGCATATATACATTCTAGAAAGAAAATATCTGTGGGCAAATATTTACATTTAACATTGACCAAGTGTTTATAGGATGCGTTTTGAAAATAAACTGTCATTTATTCTTTGTTGTAGAGACCGTTAGTTCTGTCTATGTTATTAGCACAAAACAGTTGTTCATTCAACTAATAATGCAGCAACTGATACACCTGCTGAACATAGTGCTATGGGCTATTTCTTCCTGTGCGAGAATTCAGATCTGAATCAAAAGGGGGAAAAAAAAAAGACTCAGTTATGAATTACAGAATGGATGTATTGATCTAGGTTCAGAATCAGGCATGTGCATGCATCTCATCAATCTCTTATGCCTGTTTGGTCATAAAAATAAAATTGAACTAAAAAAATTCAAAGCCAAAAAAAATAAAAATCTGTCTGTATTGGCAATGAGTTTAAGCCTGATTTTTGTGTATGATCACGTATTTCCCCAATACTAGAACTGAAAACACAGCTCTACTCATCTGTGGAGCTAAAGGAAAAATGTGTATACCTTTAAAAAAGAGGCTTGAACTGTAAAAGCAAGCACACTGAATTTTAAACTTGAGCATTCTATATGCAATTATGAGACAACTTAGTTTCGCAACGTTAATGATCAAACAAAGTTATTTCACATCATGCAACTTACTACCAGCAATTTTTTGGACAAATCAAGTCTTTTGAGTGTAGAAACTTCTTAAGAACAGAAGTGTAAAGATTTTTTTTTTATTAATAACCTAAACATAGTTTTGTTGTAATGCATGAATAGTGCTACCTTTAAATTCCACCAATTTTAAACATTTTGATACTTAAAAAGTTAAATATATATGAAGAGGGTTGTGTGGAAGGCACACATTACTATACTCAATCAATACTGACCTTTCTCCTCTCATTTGAAACAAAAGTTTTCCAGCTGTCCCTTTTACGAAGTCTCTACTCTCCAATCCGCTGACATGCTCATTACAAATTAATTGTCTGCTTTCACCATTCCATGGTATGTTTGACCTTTGCTCTGCTAAGCAGTCATTATTAGTCCTGCAAAGATTATTCATCATAGCTGGTTGTTCAGAATCTAGCTTCTCTTCCTCTGAAATAGCCAAAGAGAATACATTTTGTAGAAGTATTCAAACACAATAAATACACAAGACAGAGCTAAAATGAACTACTGTTTGGCATGTTACATTAAATCTGCTTGTATCAGTTTAAAAAGTGAGAAAGCTTAAGAATAATTAGAGCGAAGTATAAAGTCATTAAGTCTTTCCATAGAATCATAGAATAGTTAGGGTTGGAAAGGACCTTAAGATCATCTAGTTCCAACCCCTCTGCCATAGGCATTCCATTTTGTGTTTTAACATTTTTATCTTTAATCATTTTTTTTATTTTCCTTTTAGAGATAAGTGGATTGTACCATGTGAAAAAAGTGATTATATTTCAGGATCTAAATATTATGAAGGAACTCACTCAAAAAGTAGCTGTTAATATTGCACCTTGGTATCTACACGTGACAAGAACATGCCCAAAAAACCTTACGTAAACATTTGCACGATCTCCAAAGAAGAGAAGAAAGGAAACTCAGGCTATAGCTACATCAGGTTCTCAACTTCTTCAATTAGTAACATCAACTTATCCAGGCTAATGGATTAAACTACATCTACGATAAACTGCATAAACTACTAAATACACATCTATAGAATATGTACACAATAATGAGGTAAAATTTAGTACTTTTTGTGTAAGACTTATTTTGCAGTAAGGTAAAAAGTGAGATATTCAGTTTATCATGTAAAGTAACAATCCCAAGCCATGTAAGAATTGTCATCATTACAAATAAGTCTTCATTAAAAACAGATTTCCAACACGTTTTACAATGAGCCAATGTGCAGGAAACTGAGATGTCAAGACATTTCCATCTGCAAAAAATTACTTTTAAAGTCCATGTTTTGTGACCTTTATTAAGTCTCCACTAATGAAACTCTTAACAACAAATGCAATGTAGTTGGAAGTGTGTCAAGACATATAATTTCTTTTTACTCCTCCTTTATACTCAATAATCCATCAGGGAATCTCCTTAGAGGATGCCATCTCATTATCTCTTTAAACATTTCAGCAGTTAATGTTAATTTTACCCATTGAAGAAAACTTCCAGTACAAATTCCATTACTTAGAAACCTATAGGAAAAAAAAGGCACGTGTAGCTTTCAACACACTTTCAGAAGTGAAAGCCAGTATAATTTATTAAATCATATTTTCAAAACTGCCTTAAAGCCATTTAAGTAATTTTTAAATTTACTCTGAAAGGACATGCAGGTCATTTAATAGAATAATTCATGTAAGTAACAATATTAAAACCCATCACACAGTTATTTTTCTAGGAAATAATATATATTAAAATGTTCTTACTCTGATCAGGAGGCACCGTTTTAGCCAAAAGGAAGTTTCCCCAAGAAGTTCTTCTAAATAAGTGTGCCCGAGCATTGCTGACTTTTCTGATCTCTGCAGCATCAGCAAGAGTTTTTGGAAAGGAAATGGAAGAATCTTCATCTTTTGCAGAAGTGACTAATACCGGTTTCTGTGGCAAAGATAAAGACAATGTTTTAATAAAAGCACAGATAATTTCACTTTCATATAAGCAAAAAATGCAAATTATTTACACAAAAAAAATTAAATTCAGAATAGGACAGATAGAAGTCCATAGATTTGCTCATTAATAAATTTTCATATAGATTCCACTACCTTTTATCACCACAGAAAGCCATTAAAAAGCAAATATTCAGGAAGGGGCAGAAAACAAACAAAAACTAGCCTGAGTAGAGCAACTGAAACTCAGGATCATTTATTTTCCTCATAAATACTCATTTAGCATCATCTGCAGTATGATTACTTGTAAAAAAAAAAAAAACTAAAAAATGTTGTGCCAAAGACCAATTCTAGAGGCATATTTGTTCTTCATGATTCAGTTTTGAGCATTAAACAAGTATTTCAAAAACACTTCAAATGCGTTCATATCACATGTACCACTTCCTATCACACTAAAACAAATCATGCAGATCCAGACACATGCAAGTTCCAGCTTTATTTATGTCAGTACCTTGCATTTGAGGATATGGCAAGGCCCTGAACCTGTGGTACAGAACACTTCTTGTGCCCTAAATGAAGACATTGCCCTCTAAGATCAAGGCTGTCTACCAATTTCCTTACAATAAAGGATCCATTCAAAAGTCTCCAGTCCAATCCTCCAGAGCTCTCCCCACTAGCAAACAGGTGAGAAAAAGGTGAGCAAACAGCCACCGTGACTAACACAAGCTTTTCATTTACAATGTACTAACTTCTCTCCATTGGCAAAGTAGAAAAGGCAGGTTCTGCATTGGTCTTAACACATACTCTTCCACTATCATGCACAAGATAAATGAAAACTTAACACCAGTTATTAAATACAACTGCAGATACATTTAATCTAAGTATGGTCATAATTTTTAAATTTGATTCACATAAACACGTTACCTTATAAAATTATTGAAATATAACATTTCTTAGATTTCTCCTCCCTAATTTCCTAAAGAATATTATCTTGAAGAAACAATATATGCAGCAAGCATACTTACCTGTTTTAGCACGCTCTGCTCTCTCAGGTACTAAACAAATGATCATGACTCAATCTCATATTTAAATATTAAATAGAAAAAAATTTGAAACAGAAGATATGCTTATAAATTGGAAAAAAAAAACAACAAATTTTTCACAGAGGGGGGGGAAATTTTACAAGTACTTCTATTTGTTTTTAAATACACTACAATCATTACCTTTTATAGATGTGTAAGTCAAATAGAAAGCACAATCAATCTAGTTACTTTCAAGTCATTGATCACAGAACCACAGCATAGTTGAGACGGGAAGGGATTTCTGAATGTTATCTTGCCCAACCCCCCTGCTCAGGTAGGACACCCAGAGCCAGTCGCTCAGGACCACATCCAGGAAGATTTGAAGATCTCTGAGCAACCTGTGTCAGTGCTTTGTCACCCGCATGGCGGAAAAAGTGTTTCCTGAAGTCTGAAGGGTACCTCCTGTGTTTCAGTTCGTGCCCCTGGTTCTGTCATTGAAAAAAAACACTGCCTCTGTTCCCCTTCCCCCCTCCGTTTTTTGTTGGTTGTTTATTTTGCACTCTCCCTTTGGATATACATGGATAAGATCCCCCTGTGCCTTCTCTTTTCCAGGCTGTATGTTCCCAGCTTTCCCAGCCTCGGTCCAGGCCTTTCATCATCTTTTTTCATTGTCTTTGTGGCCCTTCATTGGATTTTCTCCAGTAGCTCTATGTCTCTCTTTTAATGGGGAGCCCAGAACTGAAGCCAGCACTCCAGGTGTGGCAACTCACTGGCAACACTCCTCCTAATGCAGCCCAGAATACCATTAGCCATCTTTTTAATAGCAAGGGTACGTTGCTGGCTCATGTTGATGCTCATAACCTTTTTCTATTTCAGTAATCTTACACAAAGAAAGCTGACTCAAGTATCCATCTTCTGATTCTTGTTGATGTCACTTAGAAATATAATGCAATACAGAGATATTTAAATAGTTTTTCATTATTTTCAGATTTCTTTTGGGGGAAAAAAAGTCAAAACTGACTTTTGAAGTCTCAGACTAACATTACAACAGCCTTCCACTTCTCCCAACCTATTTAAACTGTATCTTTTCCTTACGCTACAAATTAATGTATTTTTATGTCAGTATTTCCCGAGTTATTTCTAGAGTACTGTGTCAGGGACAATAGGTAATGGTCCATGGTGAAACACACAAAGATAGAAGAGTACTGTTTGTCCACTTTGGCTCCTCCCCGGAGAGTCCTGCTTTGGCTGCTCCCTGGAAAGGCCAGCTTTGGTTCCTACCCGGAAAGTTCCACTTTAGAAATCCCTGGAAATGTCTCGACCCTTGGAGACCTTTCTAGATATTGCTGGACACTTCTTCCATCTTAGGCTGGCCCCCTGCGTCAGAACAAGAGTGCATTTTTGTCAGTATAAAAGCCCGAGCCTCATGCGATGTGGGGGAGGCAGAACTTCATACCACCCAGGTCAATGTTGCCTCTGCAGGGACAGCCGCTAAGGTTGAGCCTGTCTCCTCGCACTGCAATGATGATTCTCTGAGCTGGTTTCCTGATCGTCTTAACAGGGTCCTTGGGGTTGGTAAGATAACCAAACATCAGAAGTATCCTTGACCGTATCCTTTACTATCTCTATATTTTCCTATATTAATAAACTAGTTGAGAGTTCTCCATTTGTCTCTTGTTTTCTCTCACCTGTAATCCTCAAACTCTGGAACAAGTACTTACATGTTTCAGTGGGCTAAGACGAACACCAGACAGTGGTCTTGATTCAGCCAAATCAAAACTGGATGCATGAAGACTAGTGTAAAGAAATTAAACACAATATGAATAAAGCAGAGTCAACATTTTGTGTTTTGGGGATTTTGGATCTGGTGGGGTTTTTTGGTTGGTTGTTTTTTTTTTTTTGTTTGTATTTTATTACTTGCTTCTTGTATTTTCCAATGAATATGGTGAAAAGGAAGAAGAAAGGAAGACTGACAGAGCACTTTATCACTCTTTTTCCATGAATTCTATTTAACTTTGATATGTGGGAATCCAGCAGCACCAAGAGAGAAGAATTAAAAGATCGCTTGCACACCTGCCATCACACAGCTTACTTCATACACATCTACGACATACAAGCCTAAACCCACCCACAAACTAACTGTGGTTAGTGCCCAAGGTATCTGACACAAGCTGCAGAACACCACAGGGCAGAAACCACAGGTTTGTATAGCCATAAGCATGCTCCTTCCTGTACACATGAGAAGCACAGGCAGAATAATCATGGATGGCAGCCGGAGGGATCTCATTACCTGGTCACCAACGAACATCAAGTCACTCTCAGGCTCTCGCCTCCTCTGAGGACACAACATGATGCAGTAAGGAGTATCCAATACATTGTGTGCCTGAAGTCATGCTGCCATGAAAACAGCATGGACACTGACTTACTTGTATGGCTTTTCCAACACGTTTCAGTACCCTTTCTGGCATGCCTGACACCTAACATTATGAATACAGTTCCTATCTCCTCCCTACAGTCACTACAGAATTGGCATATACAGGAGCTAAAAAAATAACTGGGAAAATGGATTTTAAAAGCCCAATATACAACTTTTTTCTCTTTTGTCACAAGAGACATATTTATTGAGCTCTGTGAATTATAGTACTTAACAAAATGCCACACAAATAATTCTGAAGTAGTATAAATTATGATTAAAAATGAGCATTTCAAACTTCAAGACCTACAATTTATGACTAAAAATACCTGAGAAAGCTCTGAAAAAAAAGATCTAGCATACAGTTTATGTGGAAACAAGCAAGCTTTCTCAGTTTCTTTTTTTTTCACAGGGAAAAAACTGAAGCATATATATGAAAAGCCTACATTGTCTTAAGAAAAAAGTGAGGTACTATTTTCCTATACTATTCTTTACATACAAAACTACTGTAAAGTCTGCCTCTGGTATCTCTAATCCACAGGAACTTCCTGGACATGTAGATTAACACCAACAGTAAGGATCATTAGAAGGTGGTGAAGGATTAGCAATATGAATTAATACAGGGGAAAAAATTCACTGGAAACATAATTACAGAATCAAATCTCTTGTTGTTAAAGCATATTTGGAAAAAAAAAAATCTTAAAAGCCACAGTACCTAAAAACTGAAGGGGGTCTATTTTGAGGAGCTCGTGAGGATCCAGATCCAAAAAGTCTCCTTTGTTCTTCTGTAGGTGTAAATGGTCTCCGAGTTCTCAGTGTTCGTAGAAAATTTCTGGCTTCACTTATAATCTCAGAACTAGTCTTCTCCTTTGGCACTGAAAGCTTGTAGAATGGTTCTGCCTCTTCTGTATTTTTATTCTTTGAAGCTTGCATTCCTCTGCAAAGTAGTGCACAGGAAGAACACTACAGCATATATGGAAGGCACCGAATGTAATGCTACTTCAAAATGACAAACTATTAATTCATCAAAGGTCATGTTCCCACAGTGTAGTTAAAAAGGCTACTATAGCAAAATTCTAGACAGTCCTGCACTATTTCTCAGTTCTGTAGGAAAACACTGAAGAGCAGAAAGCATCTGACATGGAGGACCTTCAATTTTTTAGAGGAAGCTGAAGTACACCACACTCAGTACCACAGTGCTTTTTGGGCCAAATGCAGTACTTTCCAATACTACAGAAAATCTGTTTCTTAACACCTGATTACTTATAAACCATCATAGCCACAACACAAATTCAGTAATACGCTGTAAAGAGACACTTCCTTTCCAATGAACTTAGGAAATCGAATATAAGTTATTGACCTGGCCAAGATGTTTCCTAATAAATCAAAGAGGTATTATTCTCAGTAACAGAAGCACAGTTATCGGTAACCAATAAGCAGAGACAAGGAAGAATAAGCAATCCAATCTGAGAGAAATGCCTCCCCAACCTACCCTCAAGCACATGCAAATGAACTTAACACTAAAATAAGATAAATTGTCAACCCAAACTTTCAATTAGTGTTCTGTCCTGCTGCATCTTCTAGCAAATGCAGTGGGCAGTGAAATACTTGCTTCATTGTCTCCGGAGCCCTCCAAAATCAATCACTATCTTGGTGCAGTTCTCTGCAGATACCATCCTTGTCATTTTACAGAAAATTCATCATGAGCCTTAAACCATTCAAAATCCCTCTTGTGCTTTTCAAACTTACCTAAAAAGAAAAATATGTCTCTGCACTGTCTGTGACTCAGACCATCTGGTAATTTCTATTCTCTCACATAATTTATGACAATGAACCGACAGTAGATCAGACACCAATATCTCAGTTATTTCTAAACTATGGAGGAAAAAAAAATAAAAAATCCTATTTCTCTAGTTTCTTCGTTCACTTCTTCTTGTTCTGCATTTTCACATGTCCAATTGCCTCTCCTTTTTTCCTTGAGAGCCTGTACATTCTGGCACAGTTTCTTCAATTAATACACAATTGAACACCTTCAGCTGAACTACACAAGATAAAATTGGAAGCTAAGAAGCAGTGCACCAACCTCTCTCACTAAAAGGTGCACAATTACAAAACACAGGAACAGATCAGGAGCCTGAGCCTGTCAGTGTTTTTAATCTTTCTGATTACCATTAATACATCTCTGTGACTGAATTTGGCTCCCTATGCTCCCCACTCTTCCCTCTGTTACATGATTCAGAAGAGCTAAGTAAGGAATTCCACTGCAGCAGTCTGTCTGGAGCAATTACACAGCCATTCCTCACCGAACAGGGAAGGTAGGTTTCTATTCCCTATTCTCCCAGCTACCGGGAGTCAAGATTTCGACCTTTACGTGAAAGGTCTTCTGCATAGGCCATATATCTGACACTATTAGTATCAAGCAGATGTAGAAACAACAGCTATGAATAAACACTAAACCATAGTTAACATGATTCTACAAATCATAAATTTAAATTAATTTACAAATATTCTTTTCTGGTCTATGTATTTCCATCCACCTTGCTAAAATTTAAAATAAATCTTCTCAAGTAATCAACTATCTTACACTTAATCTCTGAAGGACCCTGTTCTTAAAATCTCTGTGCTCTGACACTGAAACATATATTTTTATGGGATTTACATATATGTACCTAACAGTTAAACTAAGAAACAACCTGAGACATAGGATGTGTTTCTGACACATCACTGATACAATCAGCATAAGGTTTTGTTAATTCTGCTATCCACTGCAAATTTTCTATCCTAGAAGTACATTTATTTGCCACAGTTAAGATCAAGCTTCCATTATAATAACTTTTTGTTGAAGCTTTCATCTCTTACCTATTTAACTGTCACGAGAGCTTTGCTATGAGCTTAATTAGTGAAGTCCTTCTATTTGGGCACTGTTAGTCACCCTTCCAATCCATTAAAAACAAAGTTTTAACAATTAAAGTCGCAAAGGGAACCTATGGCTTAGTTCGGATGCTGGACTGAGCTCACTGCTGCATTGATACCTGAGTGGAGAGGCGCGGAGCGGCCTTCCCCGGCGCTGGCGGAGAACAGCCTCCGGCTCCCGACACCGAGAGCAGAGTGGGGCGGGAGCTGTCACCTGGGGGCGGCACCGAGCAGAGCTTGAGACAGCGCCGAACCGATGAGAGCATTAACACCTCGTCATTTCGGCGTAAAGGGGTATTAGACACACTCGGAATTGAAGTAGTGATACGATACAAATATATCATTAATAGATATCCCATAATTATTAGCCAGAAAATGTAATAGAACACAGAATAACAAGTCAGCAGTGTCACAAAATGAGATGTGTGTGTAGATGTACATGATAGGGCAAAAAAGCTTACTCTTTCTTGCAGACATGAAGGATCCGTAAGTAATTTTTTTTATCTGAATGAGTCTGGCTGCTCTGCCATCACTGTGCAACCACTGTCTCTTTCTCAAAAGACAGCTAGAGAAAGAAAATCTGTACTGTTTTGAAACCACAGAATGGTTTGGGCTCGAATGCAACTTAAAGCTCAAATAGTTGCAACCCCCTGCCACGAGCAGGGACACCTTCCACTAGACCAGCTCGCTCAAAGCCCCACCCAGCCTGGCCTTGAACACTGCCAGGGATGGTGCAGCTACAGCTTCTCTGAGCAACCTGTGCCAGTGCCTCACCACCCTCACAATAAAGAATTTCACCCTAATAACTAATCTAAATCTACCCTTTTTCAATTTAGAACCGTTATCCCTTGTTCTATTCCTACTTGCTCTCGTAAGTCCTTCTGCATCTTTCTTGTAGGCCTAAGGCTGACTCATTCAAGCATCAAGCAATTGCTCTGCTGCAGCAGCCCTCAAGAAAGAAGCTTCATCTGCTCTCCAGCGTCCCACACCCCAGAAGCTTTGAGGAAGCCCCTTCAGCTATATCACACCAGTTCTGCTCCTAGAAAACTACCACCTAGATCTGTCCATACAGGAAAAACCCTCCAGTCACCAGAAGCTTTCTTGACTTTGATGAGCATAAGGACCTGAATCATTCAATCACAATGCCAAAGACCATTTTAAATTAAGGTGCAACAAACGAGTACAACAAGCAGAAAGTAGAAGTACAGGATGAAGAAGCAGCACAAGAGTGGAAGGGAAACTACTGAACTGGCTGCCCAGTGTTACAATCTGGTTTTACCCTTGGCTTTCATTGTTTATACAAGCCTAGTTCTACCTTTGTATCTATTTGCAAGAATTTCTGTTTTTTTTTCCCAAACTCTATCCTTTAAATAAATAAAGTATCCCAATTACAAATCAGAAATAATTCTAATTATTAGTGCTCTTCTTGAAAACCCATTATTGTTCCCATTTTGCTCCCCAGTCATAGCAGGGACAGATAAAGGGAATGTCACAGTGTCAATGGGAACAGCATAATTGGTACACACAGATCTTGTCACCCACTGCTGTCACTGTTCCTCAGGTACCTTTTAACTCATGCACATGAACGGCTCTTCTCTGACTCAACTGGAAGGCAGAATATTACAACAGTGTCAGAAAACCCATACTTAAGTTCTTGTCTTTTCTTCCCCAGTTGTTTACTCCAGAGGACTGGTTTTCACTGTACAGGAAGACTTGAAAGCAGTAGAAAGGGGTACAGGATGAGAGAACATGGAATTAGTCCTAGTGAGATGCTGCACCCATTGAACACTTACCTGGGGCCCACCAGCACATGAAAGAAGCACGGCTTTATGTGGCACCACACTGACTCTGCCATCCTATCTCCCATCGCAAAACCAGTGTCACTTAATTGCTACTGCACAGAATGGGTATACTTGCAATCACTATGTACACTGAGGAGAAACCCTGCACTCGAGCCCTGAACACTCTGCTCACCAACACCTGAACCCAGCTTTTGTCTTCCCAAGCAAATCGCGAGAAAAGTTAGCACCCAAACACAGGTTTAGTAAGAGTGAACTAAGAATGGGTATTATTAGACACAATTTTAAACATCAGTGAGCTACCAGTCACGCTTTCAGTATGGTGAAATTTTGCAGCAGAGAAATCACTATCAAAAGAAATGAGGACAAAGTAATGAGAAATTGAGCCTACAGCCCCCAGTAAACAGAGCAAGGTTTTCGGCCCTTAGATACCATGTTCCAAGTAAGCAGCACCGTGGAGCTCAAGCTGACTGAGGCTTTGCGGAGTAACCAAACCAAGGCCGGCAAACAACTCTCCCGGACGCGGTGGATAGCAAGCTGCCGGTAAACGGAACGCAGGTTCTCCTCCTCCGGCCTACTTGCCGCACGCCCTAGCCGGGGCCTCGGCGCCCAGCGGCGAGGGGGCACCCCCGAGGACGAGCATTACTGGCGGGCAGGGCAGGGCAGGGCAGGGCAGGGCAGTGCACTGCAGGCCAGGGTTGCCGCCGGCACCGAGCGCTGGCCGCGGAACCTGCTGCCTAACGGTCCCGCCGACACGTCCTCCCCAGCGGCGGGACCCTGCTACCCCTCACCCGCCTCGACGCGCCCGGTGGCACCAGCACTCGCTGTTCCCATGGCAACAGTACACACCATGGCCGCCGAGCCGAGGGCGAAGAACGGCCCTACCCGGCAGAGCGCCGGGGCCGAGCGAGTCCCTCACTCACCTCCGCCGAGAGAGACCGCGGCCTTCCCGCGGCACCGGTACCAGTGAGAGCCGCTCGCTCCCCTTAGCCACACCTGCAGGGTCGGGGTCGGGGAGTCCGGAGACGCGAGGGCGCCTGCGCGGGCACCTGAAGGCGCATGCGCATGCGCAGCTCGGTGCAGGCCAGGGCGGGTTGCGTGGGGTTGTGCTAACGTTGAGGCGGTGTCGCTGTGGTTGTCACCGTTGGATGTGCGAGTGGTCCTGCTGCAGCCTTGACCTGTGGAACGATGGCTTTCAGGTGGAGGGCACTTCCCCTGTCCTGGCTCACGTTTGGGGTGTAGAAGCAGGTGGCAAAGGCCCAGGTTAAGGATGACAGAAGTTTCTCTGAAATGCTGAATGTGAGCTGTTATGATACCCTCTTTCAGGGGTGTGATTTATGGAGTGTGCACAGTGACGTTGAAAGTTTATCACAGTAAAACAAAACCGGGGGACAGTGAGGCACTGGCACAGGTTGCCCAAAGAAGCTGTGGCTGCCCCAACCCCTGGCAGTGGTCAAGGCCAGGTTGGAAGGAACTTTGAGCAACCAGCTCTGGTGGAAGCTGCCCCTGCTCATGGCAGGGGATTGAAACTAGATCTTTAAAGTCCCTTCTAACACAAGCCATTCTATGAGCTGGGTACAGTGTAGCAGCTGGCACAAAACCTCTTCCCTGGGTCCACTGATCAGGCATTGAGGGCCAGATCGCTCATCCTGATGGCTTCCTACCAGGCCACAAGTGCTGTCACATCTCCTGCTCCCCTTCTGTTCTCTGGGAGGCCATTTTCACAATGTCCGTAGCAGTGTTCCTCCCAAATCAGTCCCACAGGCTGGAGAACTTTGTTGGTATGGCACAAGGGGGTCACCTGCAGTGTCTCCCCCAAGGTGCCTTCTGGGCAAGGTCCTACCAAAGATGCAGCCACCTCCAGGATTTGGCCTCCGTTGCCCAGGTGCACCAGACACTTGCTGAACTGCTCCCTTGCATGCCTTCCACTACAGGGATGGGGAATGTGATCGTGGCCTGTGTCAGGAAATCTCCAGACGTGTAGCAACAAGCAGGATGGGTCTGTTATGGCAAGTGAGTTGTTCATGACTGACAAGGACAGTCTTTGTTCACCATCTCTGAATGCATTTCGAAATGTATCTAAAAACTGCTATAGGAGGGTGGTTATTGCCTTTTGTGAATAGTAGAAAACCACAACAAATACAGCTCCATCTGAACAACCTTCTTCTGTGGTTCCTTTATAACATACTTAAGATATATCTGAAAGCACTCTCAGAATAAATTCATCTTGTGTATATATTTATATGTAAATATACATATATTTCTGATTTGAAGTTCCTTTTGCTAATTGCTTACAAACATCATAACTTTTACTTCCTCATGTTTGTTAGACAAGAACTGCATGAATGTTTTAAATTTAATTTGTCTTTCTAAATGCTGTTATACATCTGTTATGCCCCTTTCTTCTAGAAAATGTCCTCTTACAGTTCCTCTTTTGATTTTGACAGGCATTATGATAGCAGTAAAAAGATGTCTGTGTGTAACCCTACCCAGTTTACATAACACATGCCATTATCTCTGCTAGCTTCTACATTATCTCTAATTATTAGACATCTAGCCCTCTTTCTTCTGCAGCCATGTTCAATACCTCAATACCTCAGAAGTAATGAAAATCCTGTTAGTATTGTACTTGCTTTTCTTTGTACGTTCTTCCTCAAAAGCCAAGAGAATGTGTGTTCATGTGCATGCACGCTATTTTCAGATCAGTCACAGCTCATTCTCTGTTGTTTTCTTCTGAACCTTTCTTCTATTGAGGTAATACAAGCAAAGTTTCACAGAAAAATGTGTAGATCTATTTCCTGGTAAAGCCAGTTTGGAGCTCTTTTAACTGTTATCATCTCATCATACTTTAAACAAATTTTAAATCCACCCAGTTAAACCCACTAAGCCTTCCTTCTTGGCATCTTCTTTAATTCTTTTCATATGCACATTATTTCTCCTCTATTTTCTAGGTCATCAAATTGAAGAGTTAATTTTTTATTCATTTTCTGAGCTTTGGCAATTATAGCAAATATTTTTTTTTGTGCAGCTTCTCTGCTATGTCTCAACTGTTACAACTTTCTCACTTAAATCCCTTTTCTCATGGGCTTTTTATTGCATGAACTCTCTTGGCACCTATTTTAAATCCAGGTACTTAATTAAATCTCCTTGTTTGCAATAACACTGCTTTAGAATGGAAGTATCATCAAAACACATAAACTGATTTGGTCTAGGCAAGCAGTGTTAGCTCAAGAGATTGCTGATGTGAAAGCAGTGTGTTCTGAGCAGTTCTGTCTAACTAATGAAATAACACAAAGTACTCAGTTATGTCATATTCATTCAGATTATTTTTCAGATTTGAAAATCATGAAAGGGATTTTGTGCTGCTATCCAGTCTCTATTTTCAGTTTAGCGAACTTAAATCTGTCTCAAAATGAAACTTATTTGGATATCTAAGCATACAAGGCCATATTTCAGTGCAATTCAGAATTAGTTAACAGTGTTAAACACTTTGCCTGCCAAGTGTTCATTTATACTTGCTGCTTCTTGCTGCTGACCTGTAAGAGCAGCCTCCAGTGCAATTTCATCAACACAAATGGCAGTGCAATCCCCATTTCTCCCTATTTCTTTCCTCTTTTTTCAAAATGAAACAACAGTCCCACCCCCAATCTGGACAAAAACGTTCCTGTCATGTTCAGCTTTGCATAGACCATCTGGTACATGCTGTTAAATAAACTCTGTGTTTCATATCACTCATAGCTCATTACAAAGGCAGGTGAAGTAGTTCATTTTATGGCAGTTAGAAACAGCTCCTATACTAGATGGCCTAATAAGTTTCAATCAGACAGGTTTATGAAGATCTCCACTACGTACAGCAGGGAAATCTGTGACAGGAAAAGAGCACTGGTATATGATGAGATGACCAGTTGGTGGGTTATGGGAGAGCGGTATATGCTGTTTATGTTAGGTAAGGCTTTTGACTGTCTCCCATTACATCCTCACAGGCAAACTGGTGGAGTATTGTCCATTTAAGTGGGTAGTGAGCTGAATGAAATTGGGCCAAACTGCAGAGCTCAAAGGGTTGAGATTAGCAGCACGAAATGCAGCTGGAGGCCGGTCATCAGCAGTGTGCACCCTCAGCAAGATTGCTTATGATGCAAAACTGGGTGGAGTAGCTGTTACCCCAGATTGTTGAGCTGCCGTTCAGAGGGACCTTGGCAGGCTGGAAAACTGGGCCAAGAGGGATCTTCAGAACCTCAGCAAAGGGAAATGTAATGCCCTGCACCTGGGGAGGAATAACCCCATGCACCAGTACACATGAAGGGCCAATTGGCTGGAAAGGAGCTTGGCGGAAAAAGACCTGGGTTTCCCAGTTGACACCAAGTTGAACACAAGCCAGCAATGTTCAAAGCTTCCTGGGCTGCATTAGGAAGACCATTGCCAGCAGGTGGAAGGAACTGATCCTTTTTTTTGTGCAGCACTGATGAGGACACAGCTGGAGTACTGGATCCAGTCATGGGCTTACCAGTACAACAAAGACACAGACATGCTGGAGTAAGCCCAGTGAAGGACCACTAAGATGACTAAAGGGCTGGACTGTCTTTAGTATGAGGAAAGGCCGAAAGAGCTGGGACTGTTTAGCTCAGAAAAGAAGGCTCTGGATGGGATCTTACCTGTGTGTATAAGTATCTGAAGCGTGCAACGAAGATGGAGTCAGACTTCTTGGTGGTGCCCAGCGATAGGACAGGAGGCAGTAGGCACAAATGGAAATACAAGAAACTCCATTTAAACAGAACAAATTTCTATGGTAAGGGTGGTCAAACACTGGAACAGGTTGCTCATAGAGGTCTCCATCTTTGGAGGTATTCAAAATCTGGTTGAAAAACTCCCTAAGTGACCTGCTCTAGTTGATTGCTTTGAGCAAGGGGGTTGGATTAGATGGTCTCCAGAGGTCCCTTCCAACCTTAAATATTGTGTGATAGATTTCTTTTTTTTTTTTTTTTTTTATTCCTTAAAATCTTATTTGGATTTGGCTGAAATTTAAGATTTTGGAAATTGACATGTCTGGCTTGCATTGCTCAGTGTGATGTGGTCACTGTGCCAGCATCCTGCAAACTCTGCACCTTACCTTCACTCTGACCAGCTCTTGATTCCCTTCATCCTCACTGTTCAGTCCCCCCCTCTGAGATTTCCCGATGTAGTTGTGCCGGCTTCCTAAGTGAAATACCCTTCAGTTGGTACATTTGTGCTGACACACAGCATGCAAGGACTTCTTGTACCAGCTAAGCATTGTAAGCAATCTACCAGCCGCACACCCACTATGCAATTGTCCCTACATCAATGACTGCTTTCATTGAATTCCTGTTAATTCTGCTGCCTCTGTGAGTGACTGGAAATCCCTGGCATGTTAGCAGAATGCCTGCTTTTCTTCTGGCCTGCCTTTTGACTGGACTAGACAGACAGGATTCCACATGACTTTGGTGCTGCTGCTCAATCTAAAACCCAAATTTCTACAGGCAGACGCTGCAGGATGCTTGGGGAAACAATAAAAAATAGGTATGGAAGGAAAATGTGAAAATGTGAAGCTCATGGAGGCCACAATCCAATGTAAAGTGTAAAAGCAGAGATAAGGCCCAATGCCAGGTAAAGAAGAAAAGGCAGTTTATTTTCTCGCAGGACACAACCTTAAGTTTAGAGGTCCAAGGTGTTTCTTTTAGGACTGGTTTGTTGTATACACCTTTTGATGGTTGTGTGTTCATTGCAGGGAACATACTGAGCTGGTATACTGTTCTTATCATTCACATAAGCCTATGAAGGATACCAAGAACTGGCTTAATCAAAAGAGATTTTGAGGAACAGACAGGGATGGAGTCAAAACTACTGAGATGCAGAACCCCTTAGGGAGCTCACTGAACACACATAGCTAATTGAGGAAGGGAATTCAC